CATACTAGCACTACTACTACTACTACTACTACTACTACTACTACTACTACTACTACTACTACTCCCACTTTCGACAAAAAACTACTACTACTACTACTACTACGACTACTACTACTACTAATAATAATAATACGACTACTACTACTACTACTACTAGTACTACTACTACTACTACTACTACTACTGCTATTACTACTACTACTACTACTACTACCACTACTACTACTACTACTACTACTACTACTACTACGACTAGTTACTAATAATACTAGTACTACTACTACTACTACTACTACTACTACTACTACGACTACTACTACTACTACTACTACTACTACGACTAATTCTACTACAACTACTACTACCACTACTGCTGCTGCTGCTACTACAACAACTACTACTACTACTAATCCTGCTACTACACTACTACTACGGAAGTGGGAAACAATTAGTGGACACTCCCCCGCTCGGGGAAGACTGCAGTCGAAGTGCAGCTCGTTCAGCCCAACGCCAACAGTGACCAGTGCGGGGGGGGGACATTGACGGATGAATGCGGCACGAATGTTCTCGAATTTCTTCCGAGGCTTGTACGACTACTACTACTACTACTACTGCTACTACTACTACTAATAATAATAATAATACCACTGCCACTACTACTACTACTACTGCTGATACCACTACTACTTCTACTACTACTTCTACTACTACTTCTACTACTACTACTACTACTACTACTACTACTACTACTCTGCACGATGACTACGACTACGACTAGCACTGCTATTGCTACTACTATACTAAGACTACTACTACTACTACTACTACTACTACTACTACTACTACTACCTTTACTACGACGACTACTACTACTACTACTACGACTACTACTACTACTACTACGAAGACGAAGGCGAAGACGAAGACGAAGACAAAAACTACACAAGCACACAAGCACCAAGCATTACTAAAACGACGAAAGCGACTACTCCTACCACCGCTCTGGCTACTTCGACGGCTACCATTATAATGGCATTACTACTACCACCACTGCTGCTACTACGACTACTGCTACTGCGGCGACTACTACCACTACTACTACTACTACTACTACTACTACTACTACTACTACTACTACTACTACGACTGCTACTACTACTGCTACTACTACTACTACTACCACTACTCACTACTTACTACTACAACTGCAACTACAATGACCACTACTACTACTACGCCTGCGACTACTATGACTACTCAGACTACTACTACACCTACTTCTGCCACGACTGCAACTACTTCTGCTACTACCTGTATCACGACTACTACTACTACTACTTCGACTACTACTCGCGATACTACTACGACTACTACTACTGATACCTCAAAAGAGAATTGCTTATGCTACTAGAATTCATAGATTTGAACAAAAAGCAGTACTACGGGTAGTAGTACTACTACTTCTACTACTAATACTACTGCTGCTAGCACAACAACAACAACTACTACTACTACTACTTCTACTACTACTACTACTACTACTACTACAGCTAATACTACTACTACTACTACCACTACTACGACCACCACTACTACTGCGACATGTACTATTACT